CTCTCTCTCTCTCTCTCGCTCTCGCTCTCTCTCTCTCTCGCTCTCTCTCTCTGCGGTTTCTCACCAAACACCCACATATACGCGGGTGCGCTTCCTAATCTTTTTCTTTCACCTACTCCAGTTCCTTACCCACTGGTTGATTTGGCAAAAATTTGTTCAGTTCAGGAGTGGTACCGTTCGTCCATAGAGCACGATCGTGCAGTGCCGCCCAATTTTAAAAAAAAAAAAGTACTATGCCCTTGACTATCTTCAGCCTCCGATTACGATAGTTTAATTGTGCACGCCCACTTTTTAGCCCTACGAGCCGCCCCTTGTTCAGTCAGATAACGTTTTGAGCCTTCCATTTAGTAGGCGGTTGGCATTCTGATTGATCAGCATCACCAATATCAACAATTTTTTAATCACCCTCACCACGTTCATAAATTCTCCATGCATGTAGGCTTATAATAATTTGTCTATAATGTTATGTCACTTGGATTTGAAAGAAATGACAACATTCAAACAAAACAATTAAAGACCAACTGACGACAAAAAGAGTTTAAATGAACGCTTTTCGACCATCAATCAATTATCAACAGATGCCCCCCCCCCTAATCTTTTTCTATATAATAAGAGGAGGGGGGGGGGGGTATATTTAATTGTTTTATTTTACAAAGGCTTCAAAGAAATTTTTTAATTGTCTGAGATCGGGCTGAAGGGACACTTATTCATAATTTTACCTGTTGCATTTAATTATGGGAAGCCGAGATGCTATTGCAGTCCGATGAAGAAGAAATTATATGGGGCTAGTTCTATATGAGAAGTCTTTATTGCTTCATTAATAATATATTTTTTTTAGTCTTCGTACTCAAGGTGAAATACCATGCAAGCTGTTGGTGTCATAATCCTTTTTTCCCCTTTTCTTTTTTACTGATCAGGGATTTCATTGTTATTTCCAAGCATGACGAGACCACTCGATGCGACTCTTGTAGAAATGTAGGAAGGCCTGCACGAGTCTCATTTGTTATTCAGAAACTAGAGTACCGTGGCCAAAGTTTGGTTTTCATCCAACTCCTCGTATTAAAATTGCACTAAATAAGATTCTCATGAGAATGGGTCAACAAACGGTCAGTGGCCGCACAATCCGACCCTCACCCTATTTGCATGCTCATCCTGTCAGTATAATAACAGAGACATAGCAATGTGGTCTCTGTAGTATAATAATAATAATAATGATAATAATAATAATAATAATAATAATAATAATATTCTTTTTTTTTTTTTTTTACTGCTGGTGGAGTTTTTTTAAACCGCTGTGTCAGCGGTATTCTTCAGTAGGCCTATTGGGTGACTGTTGCCTTCAGTGTGAGTCCTACAGCCTTACAGTTACAGTGTAAATATTGAGTTATCAACAACTAGATCTAGAATATAGAACCAGCCAACTATAAAAAAAAATCTTCAACAGTCAACTTCAGGCCCGTCATAAATAAATGTGTATGTATGCATGCCGGCGCCACCAATGGATCAAGATTTCTTATATTAATTTCCCCTCCAGGGACTTGTCAGGGAGTCGGCGTGCCAGGACTCAGGACAATGTGAATATATGATTAATTCTCAATCGAGACCACTCAAATCTACAGTCTCTTGGAAAACGACTGACAATTCATTGTGTCACGCTACCCGCAACTGTTGTCTACTACTAGCCTACTGTTGTTCGAGTTTTATGTTTATAATGTGAAGTGTGTTGTAGCCCAGTTCACCTGAGAATTTGACCCTAACAGAACAGCTGATAACACGGGGGGAGGGGCCTGAGGCAGTTTTATAGTGTCATCATATGCCATGAACTTTGCCATTGCTCGTTTTGTGTCCTGCTGTGGTAGGTGTATTATTACTATTTTATTCCTTCGATAATAAACAATTTGATAAAATACCTAGAATTTAGTAGAATCTAGATCTTGATTTAGATTTAGTAGACATAGATATCTAGATCTATATGGCATAATGATAATGGCCTGGAGTGTTAGTCTGATACTGTTAGAATGTTGCCAAGTTTGACAAAAACTACACACTACAACAACAGCAAGAAACTACTGTACTGTAGTGCTACTTCTTAATTCTTGCCAGTGCCAATTTATATTAATTTTTCAAATCTAGATGTGTGTGGAGGCCGATGAGGGGATATATATGTGTGTTTTTGTGTGTGTTGGTGTGAAAGACAAAATTTCTTAAAATGTATTCAGAACAACTAAGTAAATACCTTTATATTATCAACCAATCTTTGCAAACAATTATTATTTATTTGAAGGAAGAGGCTAGCCATAACTTATTGACGGCTATTAGACAGCTGGGGTAGCCGTAAGTTTATGTGATGGCTGGACTGACAAACTGCAAAAAATTGACCTACTGAATTGTAAAAAAATTTTCAGGCTGCAATACCTAAAGTATTTCTATTTGAGACGAAACTAAAAGGTGCCTTACTGACAGTGCATGTATTTTAAACCTTCCTGAATAATTACTAATGAAATGAGACCTGTGTACTCGACCGGTTTCTTATTGGGTCTAAAATAAGTACGGCTAGACTGGAAGGCTAGCCGTACTTAATAATGAAAGCTGTGTATTGTAAATACTTAAATGTGAAGTCAGTCTTGTTATTATATATGGATATGAGATGTGGAACGCATCTGAGATGTGCATAGCGGATCCAGGTTTTCTTTAAAACAAGTATCTGAGGAAGCTGCTGAGGATCAGATGGACAAACAGGATCACTAACGAGGAAGTATTTAAGAAGAACGAGACAGAGCCCAGTCAGAGATGATGTGGGAAGAAGGCATTGGCGATGAATTGGACATGCTTTCAGGAAGTCGAGCAGCTGCATAACAAGGATCGAAAGTGATAGATTGGAACCCACAGGGTAAAAGATCAAGGGGAATACCACGTGGAACCTGGAGAAGAGTCACAGAAATGAATGTACAGAAAAGGGGGAAGACATGGAGTGACATCAAACGACTAGCCCAGGACAGGGAAAGGGGGAAAGTGTTTGTTCGTGGCCTATATCCTGACCCTGGGTGAGAAAGGCAACGATGATGATGAATTGTAAATAAAATTTTAGTTTGCAATAACCTAAAGTATTTGTATTTCAGTTGAAACCAAAAGGTGCCTTACTGACATCATGTATGTTTTTTAAACCTGAATAATTACTAGATTCTAGATGTAATGAGACCTGTGTACTCAACAGGTTTTTTGTCAATAGGGCCAAACCTAGATCTAAGTAGGGCAAGACTGGCAGGCTAGCAGTACGCCTAACCACTTCGTTAATTAAATATGATCCTAAGCATGTTACTATGAGTCTGTTTGTGGTTGAAACCATTAGGCCTACTATTGTGTTATCTATTATTATGGTTGTGTGCGCAAATAGTGTGTGGAGGAGAGGATGCGTGAGATAGTGTGTGTGGAAATGTATGCATGCATTTGTATGTGCATGTGTATGTTATTCAACACCAAACCAATGTGCCAGAGTCTGGACAATAAAGATTTATATAATCTTATCTCTAATTTTTGGAATAAAAACTGCCAAAGCATGATGTAATGTAGGCCCCCTATTGTAACTTTTGCTGGTGATATCTTAAATTATTTGTACACCTTAAAAATGTGACATACTTCTGATATACATGAGAGGGTACTGGTAATGGAAGCATATCTGATAGAAGATAGATCACGACAAATGGAATGGATGCATAGAACTAAGAAGAATAGATCAGGACAAATGTTAAGTCTGCAAAATATCTTGTGTCGCATTGAATTGTCATGAAATTGTAAAAAATGATGAATTCGAAGAAACTGTCTGGTATCAGAGAAAAAAAAAAATGACTGCCTAAGTTTGGTGACTATCAAATCTTGAGAGTCTTTGGAAGCTGCAAATTTACATTTTTGTGCCTTTGATTAATGTTTATAAAAAATCCACAGGGAAATTTTTATGTTTTTTTAAATGGACATTATAGTTAAAAGTGTTGAGTCTTTTAAAAAATTGATAAAAATTGCTCAACACGGAGCAAAAATTGTTGGTTTCTTTATTTTCATTATTTTGATGAGTGTCTGATTTCACCATATGATCACACAATTTATGGAAACATAATGTGTGTAGGTTTCATGTTTCACTATTCTGAGAGGTTGAATTATGGTGACTGAAAATCAGAGCAAAAAAATATACCCCCAAAATAAATATATATTATAGGCCTATTGAAAAAAGGATGGCCTTTTTGTAAAGAATACTTTTTTTGAAAAAAAAGGAAATTCCCTTTTTATGCTCCTGTAGTAACAAGCGGAGGATTGCAGCTTGCCAGCAGGCCATCTTGTGTGTTCAAGACAACCTGCACTTGTGCCCCTTTTGTGCTCTTCTCAAGAAGACACTACACACCCGGTGTTTCTTTCAAAAGGGTCAGTGCCTGGACCAAGTTCTCTCACCATTTCAACAAAAGTCCTTGTCACACCTTACTTCAGTGCAGGTATTTTAAAAAATATTAAAAAACCCACTTAAGTATATTCTTAGAGTTTTGTTTGAGTACTCTGGTCTTCTTTAAAATTGCTATGTCAGCATCTTTTCTTCGTTCATCTGATTCTGATGCAGTGGTGCTTGACTCTATAAATGCTCAACGCTGCAAACCGTGTCATTGAAGTCATGGATGAGATGAAATGGGAGTGCATATAGTTTTCCTTTGTGGAGAGTTAATTTTTTATTTCTTCAACTTCTGCTACACTACCAAAAAGCGTCTAGAAATACAAATTCAGATTATGTCACATCCTTATTGGTAATGACGCTGTGTGTGGCTCATTTCATGTGGGATTATACCTAGAGCTGTATACTGTTCAGATAGTTATGTGTACTGCTACTAATTTTTTTTTGTCTTCTCTGCTGAACTTTGCATTTGTAATTTTTTTTTTATTGTTGTAGATAAAGCCATTAGTTAGACATTAGTTAGATGGAATTTGTAATGTCTTTAATTTAAAATGCTGTATAGAAGAGATTGAATTTGACATTTGATTTTTGATTGTTTATAAAGAAAAAAATTTTGGCTTCTTTATGATTGCATAAAATCAGTAAAGATGTAAGTATATCTCATTAAAATACACTAATTTGAAAATTCCTTAATTTGGTGACAGTTTGGTGTATGATACAGAACTTACTTGATCTAAATATGTTTCTTGTGTAACATCCTATTCAGATTTTCCTCAAGGGAAATTCTTGAAGTCCTAACTAATTCTGATTTTAACCCCAAGCACTTAAAAGAGTTAGCATTGCAGCTCATATTTCTGAAATTGATCTACAGCCAGAGTGCATACGGCTGGACACCTGTGACATGGCTGAATAAGGAACCTGATATTTTATAAAGGGCCATAATTCTTGCACGAGTTACTTTAATGCCATTGTATATTTTCCACTAAACTGCTGTGAGTAAATTTTTGTAATATTTTGTACTCTCTGGTTTTACATTGTTTCAATTGTACTTCCTCAGATCAGTCCTTTAGCTTTTTATTTTATTTGCTCAGATTGTTTACTTCGACCATGGCACAACAAGCACAGATTGGAGAGTATCGAGATCTGTATCCAGAAATTGAAGCTTTTGACACAGGATTCTTGAAAGTCTCCGATGTTCACAGCTTGTACTACGAGCAGTCTGGCAACAAAGATGGCAATCCTGTTGTGTTTCTGTAAGTCTTTGCTTTTTTATGCTGCTTCTGTGACGCTCATATGACCTTATGCAGTTGGGAGCGCTGTAAAACCCTCTACTATAAAAAAAAAAGTTGCTTCCAATTAAAATTTTTTGTGTATTTCATACACATGATATTGTCCCCCTCACTTGCATCATCTTTTAGTTTTGCTGTTCCTGCCTTCTGCTGACCCTATGTCTGTTTATAATTACTCGTTTGATCTCATACATTTTGACATTATTTTATTATAGTCCCATCCACTCAGATGGAAGACCATTGGTTACTCCTTTAAAAAGTCATTTGATTTCAGTTCACCATCTCTGTCCAGACTGACATCTGTGGTGCTATGGTTAGGCACTTTGCTGTTGAACGCAGGATACCTTAGTTCAATTCCTGAGATGGAAGAAATTTTTATTCAGTAACTCAATCTTTTTGCTGGGGCGTTGTATACCTCTCAGCTTGGGTTGGCCTAGACTAGCAGGGTTGGAAACCTAACTCCTAAATGGTCTAAATTATTTGGGTCAGGGTGTAAAAACACGTAACATTAAGAAAAAGACTCAATTTTTCAATCCCTGGATAGGACATACACAGGTTTATAACCTGCAAGGAAAATGCATAGGCTACACCACTGTCATTCACTTGAATCTGTACCTATATATTTTTTGCTCCTGTTTTCCAGCATTTTTGGTAGTGGAGATGAATTACAAGGTCCTGGGCCTGGGTAGAGAGTCATGATGACCAACTTAAGGTGATGAAAAAAAGATTGGGGTGGGGGGTGATGAAATACAGTCAAAATGTTTTAATCATGACCTATAGAAAATTGACTACCGATATCTTTTACCATTTTCTGTTCACATTCTTCACCACAATGGCTGCTCATTTGTTCAGCTTCATGTGTGCTCTTTAATTGCTACCTCCTGGTGTTCAATTAATTCTTTTGTACTTACAGGAAGTAAAAGTAAATTCTGGCTGTTAATGCAAATTCAAACTCACTTTCCTCACTAGAAATGGAAACTAGGTGACAGTTAAATTTCAATGAGCTATTTTGATTTTTCTCATAGCCAAGCCCACTATTGAGGATATTCAGGATAGGAAAAAAAAAAAAAAAGAGCTGTGAACCAGAGTGCTGAATATTTTACTTCCTGTATTTGCTGAATGGGAAGGGTTTTAGGCAATATGTATATATATATATACATTTTAAGTCCCAGTTGTTCATCACTTCTGTTATTTTATTTTAGCATAATAATCATTTAATAATAATAATAATAATAATAATAATAAAAATGATAATAATAATAATAACAATAATAATGATATATAATGATAATGCAGATAATTTCTACAGCACCCACTCTTGTACAGTGCAGCTCTAGGTACTTTACAATACCTTCGTCTTAGCACAAAGTACAAGTGCATGAACATGTACTTTTGTGTAAAATACGCTCTTTAAATCTTTCACTACCATGGGGGTTTTACTCACCTAGCTGGACCTTGCCCTATCTGTGACCTACTTCTGATTTTGCCTACCCACGGAGAAATTAAAGATTTTGAGTTTAATTTTCAATGTTAGCCTATGTTACAGGGGAAATAATGACCTGTCTCAACATATTGCTAAAAATGATAATTCTTCTGCCTGAGATTTCAGTTTCAATTGTGACAAAAAGTAGGTTTTGAAGCAGGAAGTGGAGAACCGTGAAACACAGCTTGCTGTCCAGCGTTGGGGGTAACACGAGCCGTGAAACACGACTTGCGGTAGTGGAAGAGTTAAATTAATGCTGACACATAAGCAGATATTCATACTATCACAGCACAGTCAATGATGATATCCACATCATATTATGAACATAAGAGTACAATGAATAAGAAGGGCAGACTATCATGATGTCATTTCGCAAAGTACATTTATTTTTTTAAATAAATTCAAAATTTTGCCTCTTGATTTTGTATGCCTCAAATGTTGTAGGGAAGAGCTCCAGATGGATGGAGCAAGATGAGAAAAGCTCCTCCCTGTGAGTTTTTCACCTTCCTTTGTTGGTGCTCTCTTAAGAGACTGGTCTCTTGATCTTAAAAAGATCTTTATGGAACATACATTTGAATGAGGTTGCTTAAATTTATACAGAGGGGCTTTATTGTTAACACCTGTTTGGCAAAGGATGCAATCTTGTAAGTAATTCTAGCTGTTTTTTGGAGACAACGGAGGATTTTTTTTTTTTAATAGGAGGTAATATAAGCTAGTCTTCCTCTTTTTCGACACGATTCTTGTGGCTTGGTCTTGAAAGTGCTGTAATTTCAAGGTGGTGACGTTCAGGAGGTTTGAAAAAAGACAGTTGCAGAAATCCAAAAGATGAAATGAGAGTTTTTATCAGCCTTCATTTAAAGAAATAGACAATCATCCAGTTCTAGCCAGCTCACAACAGAGAACTTTAAATATATTAGACATTTGATAGTTCGTAGACAATTTTGAGTAAGAAACACCCCTACATTTTATGCTTTGTCTCTTTCTTTGTTTTTCACTGCTAGATCTCAGGAGTAGTTGACTGCTTTTGCTTTGTGACTAAGCTTGTGAGTAAGCTATTTCCTTCCACTCCAAGTACCTATGTACTCTTCTTCAACAGATATTCAACCCTTTGGATCACATAATATTATAATGTCTCTGCTTTTCTCTTTGCCAAGCTGGGGTTTACTGTTTAACTTTCAATACCATTAATGAGTCTGGTTAGGGCCCTTCAAAGAATTAAAAATGAAATTTGAAGTGATGATCACATTAATAACTGAACTAGAATAACAATTTTTATGCCTTCCTAAAAATGTTTATAATTTCTTTTAACAGCCACGGTGGTCCTGGTGGAGGCACCAGTCCCAGAGACAGACGATTTTTTGACCCCAAGGCTTACAGAATCATCCTGTTTGATCAACGAGGCAGTGGAAAATCAACACCAGCAGCTGAACTGAAGGTATGCATGACATTTAAAAACTTGATTTGCTGATGAACATCTTTAAGCTTTTAAGCTTTGCATCATGCACTTAATTTGAGTTACTTTGGTTTATTTTTTGGGAGGCTCTGATTCTGTAGTTGTGAAAGAAGGTTTTACTCTGGTACTGAAATATTGAGGTTTTACACCAGCTATCTTCATGAACTACTGAAAACATACAGATCTTTAAATGCACATAAAATGAGGTTAGAAGTTGTTTAAGTAAATTGTTCCTCAGAGCTTTACAGGTCAGATGTGTGTAGGCCTATTGCAGACTTCATGACTTTGGCCAAATTGATGCCCGTTATATGTACCGTGAGTAAGGCCTCTGATTATCATGCTGAAGACATAAACAATTGATCTTGATAGCGTTTTCAAAAGTCTTCAAAAGCAGCTGAGGTTTTTGTTCCCCATCATGTGTAGTATAAGAGAATAGGGGATAGAATTCAAATTGCCTCCTTCTTCTGCAGTTGTGGGTTCTTTTGATTCATGGTAACAAAAAGTGACTTCCTTTTACATCACTGCTGGGAAAATAAAATAATACTATCCACCAAACTTTTGTAAGTTATATTATACGACTTTATTTGTCAGATGATGACATTTTCAGCTCATGATCTATTTTGTGTCCTTATTCTGCTTGCTGGATCCATAACTACCATATTCTGCTTATCCTCCTTTGGTAGAGTGTGTGTTTCTTAAGGAACCATTACTTTAACACTGATTACATTTCTGTCTTTCCCCCTTGAATCCACTTTATTTTAAGGACAACACGACATGGCATTTGGTAGAGGACATAGAGCGACTGAGGGAGCATCTGAAGATTGAGAAGTGGGTTGTATTTGGAGGAAGTTGGGGCTCGACACTTTCCCTTGCCTATTCCCAAACATATCCAGCGAGAGTGAAGGCCTTGGTACTACGAGGGATTTTCACACTACGCAGGTTAGTATGTTTTAAGTGGTCTGGGGGTTAGACTCTTGGGCTTTCAGCCGTAGGTCAGAGTTTCGAATCCTGTCAAGGGCTCGACATTGTGTCCTTGGTAAAGGCACTTTGCATGTATTTTCCTCACTTCCCCCAGTTGGAAATGGAGACCTAGCCTATAGACAGCAACAGGTCTTGTCAGTTTGTAGCTTTTTAGGGCATGTAGTCTGCAGCTTGTACTGTATATTTCACAGGAAGCTGGGAACATTTCAAAGCTGTGTTACAAGGTTTGCTGGGGTAATGATAGTTGTAAAGTGCATAGAGCGTACTGTATAGCGTGGTCGCGCACCATATGAATGCAGTTATTATAATAATAATAATGATTATTATTTATTATTATTACGTGTATTAATATTACTACTATTATTGTTTCTCACAACTACCCAGAGTGCCCATACATTAAGATGGCCCAGCCCTTGGTTTAGTTGTTTCTGTAAAACTTTATTACTTATTAAAGTATCTCTATGCTCAGTTGTCGCTTGCCGCTCTTGTAGGGTTTCACATGTGTCTCAGACTTTAAAGTATATGAACAGACAAGTAAATGATTATCGTATAAATAGTTTTTGACTATTGCATTAATGTACTGTGGATACTTGGAGGCATCATCTCTGACTCAGAGGTTGACATGCAGTGACCCACCTGTGCTTACAGTGGCTAGTTGCCAGTATACACTCTGTCATACTTAGGCCAGTCCATGCATTGATGTTATCAATCCACATTTTTCTTTGTCTGCCCTTAGCACTTGTGCCCCTCATCTTGCCTCTGAGTACTAGGCCTACCTTCATAATGGTCTTGTGGCGTTTTATATGACCAAAATATTGCACTTTTCATGGGAGCAAATGAATTGCTTTTACAGATTTTCTGCCCTGGTGTACATGATAGTGAACTGGGGCAAAAAGACCTGGGGTTTTATTATCTCTTAAAGATGAGTAGTACTCACATGTCAATGTTTGATTGAAGTAGCCCTCCCATTGACAAGTAAGCTTTCTTTCCATTGCACATTTGAAGCTATGAGAGTCTACCTTAAGTATGATGCTTTCACACGTAGCCACGAAGCATACTGGTAACTGAAAGGAGGGGGAAAGTTAGAAGCAAGGGGATAAAGAGATGTTTCTTTGTTGTATAATTTCAGTGTTTATGTTCCATCGACCTTGCAGTGAGCTTGTTTTCCTTATCATTGTTTTATTGTTTATCATGAGGAAAACAAATTGTTGCTGAAGACATTTCTGACACAAAAAAGAACAAGAACACTTTAAAATTTATTCCATGATGTCCTCTGCAGGAAGTTTTTGTATGTGAAAATGTGTGTGGTCTATGAGGTATGGGCGTGTGTGTGTGTGGGCGTGTGTTTGTGTGGTTGAATTGTCTTACAGTGTACTTTTTGTTTGTTTTTTTGTCAGTTGTTTTGAATGATGATTCTGTACTTATAAAAGCATTTTGAGCCCTCTAGGGATTAGGTGCATAAAATCACATTATCATTTTTGAGTATATTGAGGGGAGAGGTGCTTCACAATCTTCTAAAATTGTAGAGATGGCTTGACATTGATAGTGTCATAAGATCACTCTCTTGATGGTGCTTTTACATGTAGTAACAAAGCACACAGGTTACGGGTGTGGGGGAGGTTGATTGAGACAATTATGTATGTAGCTGCATTTATCAGGAGAACTTGACAACAGAACAGCCAAGGTTTTATAGCCCTATTCCTATAACAAATATTTAACAAAGCTCTGTGCTGATGACGCATGAATTTCAAATTTTTTTTGATTGTTCATCCTTTTAAATTAGGAAGGAGCTGGAATGGTTTTATGAGGGAAAAGGAGCCAATTTCATGTTTCCTGATCACTTTGATGAGTACATCAGCCACATACCTGAAGTAAGTCTCTTTCTAATTTCAATTTCACTGCCCAGTTCTCTGCATGCTTTTGTTATGAGCTTCCCTTTGGCTTAAAGATTGTTTAACTCTTGACATGTTATATGTGAGGCAGCATGGGGAAATCAGGCTCTCGTCAAATTAATGAAATTGAAGAAATTGGCATTTTTCCACCGGTTTGGCCATTTTATGGAAAAATTTGTTTTTTGGCTCGACACCTTTTATGTCCCTTTAAGTACCAATTTCTGTATGGGTTTTACTGAAAAACGTTGATTAAAGACACAAAAAATGTAAATTGTCTGTTTCCACGGACTCTCAGGCATTGTAAGTAACCAAATTTTGGCTTCCATTTTATGGCTAATTTTACCTCTGAAACCAAGTGAACCCCACCTCCTTCAGTTGCAAATATCTTGCCTTGTATTCAAGATAAATGGATATTTTGTTATCGAAAGCAAGGCAAAGGTACAAGCTTTAAGGTGATACCAATTATAACTCCATATGCCCAAAAATTGATGAGTGCCTGATTCCACCACGTCGTGACACATGCAAACAAAGCATTAATCAAAGGAGAGTTAATATAAAGGGTGAGCAATGTTAAGTTGTTTATAATTGCTTTCCCTTGGTTCTTTGATTCTGGAGTTCTTAGAGGTCTAATGTTGGTGGATGTCAGGGGCACTGCATTTATGTTGTTAAAGTCACAGCTTGAAATTTTGCTCCCTTGCTTCCCCCAGAGTCTCAGAAAATCTTTTTAAAAGATCAAATGTGTATTGAAATGGATTCAAAGCAAGGCCATCGGCTCCGTGGTCCATTGCCATAATCAAAATATAACAAAATAGCAATAGTGTTCTTCTCTAACTGTGTATCTTGAAGGAAAAGGTACACTTTTTTTTTGTTCTTTAACCATTGCCAAGGTTGATGTGCTGGTCCTCAATAAAAATCAGACGTCAGCATGCCGTGTAAATACGTTTTGTATAAAAGCACTATGGGCTATCTTTTGTGATTTTTCTTTTCATTTGAATACGAAGCATTTTTAATTTTCAAAATTTTTTTTATTTTTAGTGTTGAAACTTCCCCAAGAAACCAGTGACACGATTAGAGCCTAAAGCCATTTATAAGATTCATGTTGCTCCTCACACAGGTGGAAAGAGGAGCAGTCATTGATGCTTACTACCGTCGTCTAACGTCTGAGGATGAGAGTGTTCGTACTGAGGCTGCCCGCCGCTGGAGCACCTGGGAGATGGCCACGTCCCACCTCTACGTCAACGAGGAAAAGCTTCAGAAGGCGGGCACTGAACCTACTTGGTCTTTGCAGTTTGCTCGAATTGAGTGGTATGTTGATGTCTATGTGTGGATACAGTGTATTCTGTTTCAAGTGCCCTAAGGTATAAAAATTTACAGACAGTGAAGTGATTTTGTTTACTAAACTCCTGCCTTATTGGAAAGAAGATGAGAAAAAACGATAACCTATGAGGTTAGATAAATGTTTTCTGCCCTTGACCTCATGTTTAGGTAAGTCTACTTTATCCATTTTTCTGGAAAAAATCTTATTAATACTAACATTGCCAAGTTTGTCTTTATAATGTTAATATGCTGAAGTAAATTATACGAGGAATGGTTTGGTGACCCTGAATACCTTTAGGGATACTAATTACATCATGGAAGTCTTTTAAGAAAGGTGAGGGCCATTACCTGTCTATAGACCATTTCAAAAATGTAATTTGTTTCCCATTTGTTTTTAGATTTTAAATTTAAAAGGCTATGAATGCACGTCAATTGTGTCTGCTTAACAGCAACCACCTTGGGAAGAAGGCCCCCCTAAGCCTTGGTTGCTGATAGGCGGAGGTTGCTGCTAACTTTATTTTCAAAGGGAGTTAAACTGTAGGCTTACGGACTCACTCGCATGCACACACACACACACACACGCATGCACGCAGGCATACACTCACGTGCACATGCATGCACACACAGGCCTGCACACACACACACACACACACACACACACACACACACACACACACACACACACACACACACACACACACACACACACACACACACACACACACACACACACACACACACAAACACACACACGCACACACACACGCACACACACACATGAGGCAGCGTGGTGAAATTATGCGCTTGTCAAAATAATAAAACTGAAGATACTGGCATTTTCCCGCTGGTTTGGCAATTTTTATCGATTTTTTTGTTTTTTGGCTCAGCACCTTTTAAAGTAATCTAAGAACTCATTTCTGTGTGGATTTTATTGAATAACGCTGATTAAAGGCATAAAAAATACAAATGTTCAGTTTCCACGGAGTCTCAAACTATGGAAATAACCAAACTTTGGAGGCCATTTTCTCTCTAATTCTACTCCTGAAACCAGGCGACAGCTACCTCCTTCAATCACAACTTCTTTTCATGATAGATGGGTATTTTTTTCCACCAAAAGCAAGACAAATGAACAAGCTTTAAAATGATACCAATACCTCCAGATGTCCAAAAAATGGCGAGCGCCAGATTCCACCGTGTCGTGACACATATATATATACACAAGTTCTAATCGCATGATATGTAGGAAAATGAGAACATATAGTGAGCCACTTCTTGATCGCTGCCCGTTAATGTTACACACTGTGGCTGAGACTTTTCCTTCCAGCTTGGAGAGATATTAAAAAATTGAAGGAGGATTCACGACATGGTGTAAATTAAGCTCCTGTACACAAAGTAGGATATTTTTCGCTCGAGCAGGTGTTGTATGGAGACTAACAAGAGAGAAGGGATGCAGTACACTCAAATTATTGGCCAGTTTCTGTGTTTACGCTGTTTTTGAATAGTCAAACATTTGTTTTGTCAGACAGTTTAATGCAACAAAAGTTGCTGTAAAAGGAAAAGCTGCTGTTAAAGGGGAATATCTATATATGGATCAAGGAAAATTCTGTTACAGAAGCTTTGGTTGCTGGCTAGGTGAAGGTTGCTCTTATCTGTATTGCTGTTAAGTGGACACCACTGTCATTTTGCTTGTCTTGTTTCCTAAATGATATTGTAATGACATTATAATGACTTTTTAATTTTTGTTTCTCTTTTTCTATTTTTCACATCTGATTGTAGCCACTACTTTGTCAATGGAGGATTCTTTGAGAGTGGGTCACACCTCTTGGATAATGTTGACAAAATTCGCAGCATTCCAGCCACTATTGTCCAAGGTCGCTATGATATGGTCTGTCCAGCTACCTCAGCCTGGGAGCTTCACAAGGTCAGTTGCAATGAGTCTTGAGAAAAGTTTTCTTGGTTTTGCGTTCTGTGCTCTAGCTGCTGTGGCACAGTTGGATGTGAGCTTTGTCAGTATATAAATGGAAGCGCAGCTGCCAACCAGTACGTAAAAAGCGTATCTACTTCATATGTTTTTGAGGGTATGAGTACAAAAGTCCGCTTTTGTGTTGGAAAATATGTATTCTCTTTTGTCTAGTACTGTTCCTCAGTCAAGAAGGAAATTATGGATTTTCGAGACCAAATTCGCGAATAACATGGAGAGGATAGCCGATAGCTGTGCGCCTTACCATGGTTGACTGTTGAGCATGGATTAATTGAATGCAAAAAGAAGTGTGTGAAGGGTTTGGAGGGGGGTTACTTGCCCTACGCCCGCCATCTTCTTAACCAACCATTTGGGTAGAGTCTGTTTTTTTTGGTTTTGTTTTGAAAAGTTGGCAGCTGTGTCGAAGTATAAGTTCTTGAATTCAAGTTAGATGGGAATTTTTTTCTCCGTATTTTGGAATTTTTCTGTATAGTTCCGACATATGAACAGACAGAAAGGTGTGTCTTTAAAATACCTATTTTGTGTTTGGTGGGGTTTCAAACTATATTTTTTAAAAAGTAGAACAAATTCTGTTGCATCTGTATGTGTTATAGTTGATCAACTAAAGAAGGTAGTTGTATCAGGATTCTTGTTCTAAAAGAGATATTCTCAAAGAGTTAATGGAGTGTTATTTCTTATATTTACACTTGCGCTATGCAAATTGTCAAAGGAAAATGCACTGAGAATTTAGTTTAGAATTTATAGGCACTTGGATAACTACTACCATCATTATTATTTTATCTGGTAGTGTTCTATGAAGGAAAAAGAACCGGCGTCTATGGTGTAGCAGAAGTGTTTCACTGTCGCACTCTAGAGACTCGAGTTTGATTCCTGAGTGGGGAAAACATTCTTTATTGCATGTCTCAGTCTTTCTGCTGGGATGTTATATCCATTTCAGCCTGGGTTGGCCCTGACAGGCAGGATCAGAAGCATACCTCTTAAATGATCTAAATTGTGTCAATGGGTGTGCATAAACATATACATTTAATATAAAGGACATTTAATAATAAGCAGGGAAAGGATAAATCTATGTAAACTGTTTGTACCTTTGCCCCGTGCGTCTACAGGACCTGTGTACCTGAGGTCCTTTAGATTCACTACTGTTGGATTTACACCACGGTACACTGAGATGTGCGTGCAGTGGGGTAAAGTAGTGCTCATCAGTTAAAACTTGGGGCTGTTAGGTTGAGCAGAAAGACAGAGGTGATAAACCAAAGTGAATATTACACATCACAGTTTGCAGATTGTAAAAATAGTAATTACTTTGTTAGATATGACTATTTTTATCCTGCATTTTGGATAGCCCTTGTAATACATAAAGGGAATATGTTTTAAGGACATGTCATGAGAAATATTGGGAGTGTAAATATGTTGAAGAAATATTTGATGGGATATATGGTCAGGGCTGAGCGTTGGGTTGATGCTACATGGCTGCTGTCATTTTTAAAAGTACAGTATGCAGCTGTTAATTTTACAGGAGTTAAAAAAAACTGATTGTTGTTACTTAGAAAACAAACTCTTGGCAAATATCGCAAGTCAATATCTTAAAGAATACTACTTTAATAATAACTTCCTTACTATCTTTAATAAAGCAGATGTTGTTTTCTTGCTAACAACATTGTTTTTTTGCTGTCCTGTAAAAATGTAAAAACTGCTTATACTGTACATTTAAAAATGAGGGCAGACCGGTATAAATGTTCTTGTATGGCTGAGTTGTTGTGAGACAATGAACAATAAAAACGACCACTGGTTTGAAATAAACACTTGCCAAAGTTTATTTAAAGTTTTCAGTTCCCATGCAATGTTTGTAATCATAGGTGAGTGTCATTGTCCTTATGTTGGTTTAAAAACATTGTCATGTCACAGACTACTTCCTGAACTTATAGTATAGACTGATTTGCCTATTTGCCTCACCTTCCACAATGCTTGAAAAAAAAAGTGTATTTAATCATTGAAACTTTATGTGAGTGGTAACTCATAGCACAAGCCCATGGATTATCTGTACCAAAAGAGCAGAAAGTTTTGATTTATTTTGCTAAACGCCCACTCACTGGCAGACTGGAAGGTTTGCAGAGGTAAAACAAATGACCAAGTTTTAGGATTCATCATATAGACTAAATGGACTGCTCTGTCATTGTCACTTTTCAAAATCGTGTTTGGTGGAGTCTTACACTAAGTAGTTGATATTAGTGAAGAATCGGTTTAATAAGAATGTAGATGAGTTTCGGAAGTATGGGATTTTGATGCTTGGGTTTATTCTGCTAAATTACTCAATCTTTTATTGCTCATGCCATGATTTTGAGTCCTGAGTGTCAGCATGAATGAAAAGATAAAAATATTTGTCTACCGAGATCGGGCAGAACGGACGGAAAGATCAAGATGAACTTGGAAATTTTTTTTCAGGCTTTACTTTACTTTATCCATCCTATTGTACCTCTAGGGTGTCGAGGGGAGAAAGAACTCCCTGTTTCTAGCAAGTTTGATGGTCTGGGTGGATCGGATATTGTATGTTCTCAGGGTATCCTTCACACCCTGGATCCAGGTCTTTCTTGGTCTTCCTCTTGCTTTGTACCCTGATACTTTTCTGTATTAGGCTTTACTGGCAAGCTGGTGAGGTGCCATACGTGTGAGATGTCAAAACCACCTGATTGTTTGCCTTCGTATGTAGTGGAGGACAGGAGGTGTTGTTCCCATCATTTCTCTGATCTTGTTGTTTCTGACCATCTCCCATCTGGTTTTGTTGACGGCTCTCCTTAGACATCTCATCTCGCAGGTGGTTATCTTATGTTCCAGACTTTTGATCATGGTCCATGTCTGGCACTGGAGGTCAAGATGGGGATGAAAATACAGTTAATGAGCTTGGTTTTGGTCTCAATGGGGATGTTAAGATGTTTGAGGAGTGGGGCAAGCTGGTAGCTGAAGCTGTTAGCCTTTTGTACTCTCGTCTCAATTTCTCTGTTGAGACGTCTGTCTTCCATAAAGATGCTACCTGGAAGTTTGTTGATATTTATCTGTGTCTACTGTCAGCTGATTTGGCTTGTTCAGTTCAGTTAGTTTTAGAAAGTATTTTAGTGTGCTTATGTTTTCCTCTTCAAGTTTTCCTCCTTTAGCATGTAGCTTGACCACCCTCATGTCAACTGTAAATGACTTAAATGAGCTTTGAATATTCTCTCATCTTTTCACAGCGATGGCCAGAAGCCGATTTCTTCATGATACCTGACTCTGGACACAACAGCAATGAACCTGGAACTCGTACCAAGCTACTGGATGCCACAGACAAGTACAAATCACTTTAAATGTGCCGAGAAGAACAAATGTTGTGACGTGTTGATTTACTGTGAATCAACCATTTGATGCACTCAATTTTGTTGAAGTTTATGTTTGATGGGTTTTGTTACATTGAGAGTAATCTGCAGCAGACTTATGTTTAATGTATTTGTTGAGCCCTGAATTTAAAAAAAAAGTATAGTTTTTTATTTTTAATGGTTAACAATATTTGAAGGTCAAGAGTGCTCAAGACTGACTTGCCTGGCCTAAGTAAAAAATAGCCAAAGATGAAAAAAATTAGGTAAAAAGTAATACATGATGGGCTGACTAGAGTAAAAAATGCATTCGAAGAAAAGACAGGGTGAAATTAGTTTTTATTGGGATGGATTTTGTAATTGGTAATCAATACTTGTTAGCTTAAACTTGAAAGCAATCAGTTTTACTTGTTTGGAAGTAAATGACAATGGGATAATGTTTGCTCAACAGGGCCATTAATTAAACTTTATGTTACCATTATTCATTCTATGAAAAAAGCTGTGGAAGCTCTTCATTGTACTTGGGATGTAATTCTGAAATATAACGTGCAGTCTTTTACAATTTGATCTTTATGGTCACATTTCTGACCCAAATTGATATCTTTTAATAAGTACCATTTCTATGCCTTGTATGCTTCCCTTCCATAGTGTTCTCATTCATTTCTTTAAAAAAAAATTCTATGTATTTTTCTCTCTATAGAACAATTATTTTTATGAAACAGATTTACATTTTGTTTTTCTATTTGTATCCTGAAGAAGAGTGAATGAATAAAGAATACAAAAGTGAATGAATGAATAGAAGTGTTTACTGTTTTTCCTTCATTCCTTTGTTACACTATGATGATATTTTTCTCTTGACTTTTGTATTTCCTTGCTCTGAATGGTATAAGTGTTTGATTTTTAGAGTGTGCTCTCATGCTGATGAGAAAATTGAACCTTGTTTAAAAAATTTTACTCGTACATTGTGAATTTGTTCTACATGTAATATGTTCCTCGGTTTTGAGGAAAGAGCTGTGATCAATTTCTTTCTTTGCTACATGTACTAGACAAATTCAAGGTAATATTAAAAATTGTTAACAGTAATGGTAAAGTATGCCAGCCATATGCAAGAAAAATATTATGCTATATTTTATTACTTGGCCCTTTGAAATGTATAGCTTAGCGTGCCACTAATTGTCATACATTTGCCTCGTATATATATAAAAAGCCATAAATCCATGACTAGAGTGCTCAGCTCCCCTTTCAAGAGACTTGTTTTAAAACCAAGAGTTATGACAATGTACAGGACAGCTGGTGAATGGAGCCTCATCTGCTAATCACTCATGAGGCTCTCTTCTTTGCTCACTTCTGCCTTAAGTTAACTCCCTTTTGGAGCAGAGGTCACAAACAAGCACTTTCCAATTTTTATTTATTTTTAAAAATATTTTTTTGAAAATGAATGTTTTTATGCCCCTGTCAGCACAATTTAGATCATTAAGAAGTCAGGCTGTCAGGGCCAACCCGAGCTGAAAAGGATACAACATCATAACAGGAACACTGAGAAACTCGATAAAAATTCTCCCCTCTTGGGAATCGAACTTGGGTCTTCTGCATGTGACAGGGAAGTGCCTAACCATCCAGTCATCTCTGTTCTAGGCCAGTCTCCAGTCTCCAAATATCTGCAGGCTGCAGGATAGTCCAATTTTCCTTGCCTCGACGCAGGTTTTCTTTGGCTTTCCTCTTTTCCTTTCCTTGTTGTGTGGTATTTTTCACAGGCCCGCATTGAGTGTGGCCAATCCATGTGGCTAGTTATTCCACTTCATCGTCAGTTGATATGTCTGTCTGTCTGTCTGTCTGTCTGTCTGTCTATCTGTCTGTCTGTCTGTCTGTCTCATTGCATACATTTTTCCTCTTTGGGTCATAGTTTTATATAATGTTATATAACTTTATATATATATGAAAATACTTTGTGCTCCTTCTTTGGGTCATACTTTTTACATAGGAAAATTTTTTAAACATTTGCTTCAATTATTATTTCATTGCAATAGTAAATTATAGGCTTTGGGTATTGCTCAACAAAATCAGATTAGTTATAAAAGAAAAACTAATCGAAAACAAAAAAATACCCACTTCCCCCAAAGAACCCCCCCCAAAAAAAACAACAACAACCAACCAACAAATAACCGAGCAACCCACATATTGACCCCCCCAAAAAATGAAAATGCAAGAACAAGCACATATTGTGCATGCAATTTGAAATAGAGTCATGAAACCTCAAACTCAATCCGGCTGTAGATGCTGCTCCCTTATCCATAAACAGCAAACAACACTTAACAGAGGAATCCTGAAGCCTCCATTTTTTTCTGCAGAGCCCACTGCCGTAGACATAGCATTGTACTCAGCTGTAAACTGTCTAAAATCAGCATCTTCTAATTCTGACGAAATCCTTGTCTTGCCTCACTTCACTCACCAATTTCCCACTCTTAATAAACCCTAAAATCGTCATTGTGAACCAGTGCGCACTGCTTGTGAAAGGAAGCCTCGCTTGTTTACAATGACGCCCTAGAAGACAAGACTTTCCCAAGATTAGGTCTAAACGAAACAAATGAAAAACTGAAAATTAAAACTACAGTACATGTAACATCAGACTCCTTAATATAACTGTGCAACCTTTTCAAATTCGAAAGTTAAGTGGTTCGGAAGTTTTAGGCGACCAAAGTGACGAACTTTCACAAATATAATAGGCCCTATATAGATACTGGGAGTGTAACAAAGATTCTCTTACTTTTGGTGTAACAACCAACCGCACAAGCTACACAAACGGTAGGAGGACTAAGTAAATCAATATTCTTCCATTATTTCAGAATATATCACTGTTTAAACAAGAGTTTAGCCCAGCAATACAGCCTTAAAAATTCTAGCACCTGTGGTAAAACACAGTTGTGTGTTGGTTACAACTAGGTACTATAAGTGCAAAACCTAATAGATTATAACCGTACTGAGAGTGGAACGACGGACCGCACATTTAAGTTACTCAAAACAATACGAGGACAAAGAAATAAAAATGCTTCCAGCTTTCACAACATGTCTGGGTTTGGTTAGAATTTAGCCGGGCTAAGAAGCCTATAAAATGCTTGCAATTAATTGTGGAGAAAAAAACAACAACAATAATATCGTTTTTGTTACGACTAAGCATGGACAAAAACTAATAGATTAAAACCAATACCGAGAGTGTAACGACCGCCAACACGAGATACTTAATTCACACATCACCATGAGATGATCGGAACTGTTGCGAAAAAGCTGGAGAACAGGCCCTGATACGTCCTCGCAAACCTTGCGAAGTCAGACTTTGAATTCTTTTTCCCGGTCAACAACAACAACCCCCCACAACAACAACAACAACAAAACAAACAAACAACAAGACTTCTCGTCTACTTGTAAAATACAAAGTAAGAAGGCACGGATTATTGTGAGGCTCGTCACAGATACATGATATGGATTATTGTGAGCTTAGGCGCACATGCAAGTCACACAGTAAGTCAACGCATATTTTGACTCCGACGTCTGTGGTGTAATGGATAGTCCGTGTATTAAAAGACCCATGTTCGATTCCCGCCAGGTGAAAATTTTTATCGAGTCTCCAGGTCTTTGTCCCTTTCAGCACAGGTTGGCCCGCCTCCTTAATTATCTAAATTTTGTCAATGGACCGCTAAAAAAACAACTAAATATAAAAAATCATTTGATTTATCCTAGACAAAGCGATGTCATTTTGTCTATTTGTCTACAAGGTTTGGATCATCACAGACGGTACATGTCCATAGCTGCTCCCCGCTTTTCTGAGGATCAACGTAAAAATCACCCTAATAGTTCTACCAGGTGTCTAAAAAGAGAGGACCTACTTAAACGGCAATAACTCGATTATCTTTGAACCAAATTTAATAAATCTTCACAGAAATAAAATTCAGCCATGAGGACGTTACATTTGTTAATATAAAAAGATTCAATTTTTTGTAAGAAAAACTATCCAATTTTTTAAATTACAACCGAAATGGACTGAAATGCAAAACTTTGCAACCTCCTAAAAATGAACCATATTGATCTATTTCAAATAGATCTAATCACTATTTGTGCATTGAAAAACAAATCAATACAAAATTGATATTGCTTAATAAATTCAAGGAAGGTGTTCGCTATTTAAATCTCCCGGTGTAGACCATTTCTTCCCATACAAGCTCCTTTACTCCTTTACGTCACTTCAAATTTTGAATAACCCCGAGGCATGTTCTGGGTCCATTCTTTGGACGTTCTATTCAACATTGAGTTTCAACGGTTCAATTGTTTGTGGGTTGTTTCCCCTGACTATATCTGCCTAAACCCCCAAATGTAATAATTGAAGGGGCTCAAGTTCAGGGAATGTTGTAACTATTCATTTGTACATTTTCGGCTTATAAAGCGTTCCCCAAACCTTTCTTGTAACATTATTAATATCAGGGCCACTTTTAATGTGTGGGTTGTGGCCCTACTCCACTGGAGCTAGGCATGTGCAGCATACCACATTCTCCCCAAACTTACCCAAAAGGTTCTCGGCACGTTTAGATAAATATTTGAGGTGACTGTTGTGGCCTTACCGTCATTGTCCCCAAACCAGGACGGACCGATCACGCTTAGATCTATAAGAAGTAAAATTTTGAGTTTTACCCATTTTTGGTTGAAATCTGTAAAAACTTGATATTTCTCGATCACTTTTATTAATTTTCTTCATATTACAAACTTGACGTCCTCATGATTGAATTTTATTTGTTATATTTTTTGTTGTTGACATTAGTGTAAGGGGGCTCTCGTGGCCTAGAGGTTAAGGTGTTGGCCTCTCAATCCAAGGTCCGGGGTTCGAATCCGGGGAGAGACCAAAAACATTTCTTCTCTAAAATTGTCTCCTTTCACCTCCTTTCCTGCTCTCTTGCAATGTTCTGTTGTCTGCTTTCGTTTCCACTTTCTGCCCCCACCCCCTCACCCCCTGCCCCCTCCTCTGGGCTCCTGACTCTTTCTGCAGCCTTTCTACTGCTACTCCTTGGCTCCTCCTTACTGCTGTCTTTCTGCCACACCCCTGGTCTTCTGGCAGGAAAGATCTACACCTATCCTTCTCGGACAAGGGTGAAAAATCTCGGAGGGCCCGTGTGCAAGTTGCGCACGTTAAAGATCCCTTGGTGATCTAAAATCGATAAGAGTAGGCTTCGGCCGCCACCCGGGCAAAATTCAAAATTTCCTACCAACTGAAAATATTAGGTGTGTCCCGCGCGCTCATATGACCGTATGCAGTTGCGAGCGCCGTAAAACACTTTACAAAACAAACAGAACAGAACATAAGTGTAGAGACGACCGAGTTGTTACCCTTTAAGAGGGTCCTCTTTTTTAAAAATTTTTAGAAACCCTGTACTTTGGCAGGTACTTCTTCTTCCTATTCATCCTTAAGTGCTCAGACACAGTGGCCGCAGCTGCAGCGATGCACTTTAAAGTTACTGTGACGTGGAAAATCGTGTCGATGTTGACATGGTATAGCAGAACGATTTTGTTACATTTTACTCCCTTCTTTGTTTAGCTTTATCTACAAACTACAAATCGCTGTCCGTGATGTCGTGTCGTCCGTCCTTAACGTGGTCTTACCCTTAAGGAAAGTATGTCAACTTTTAAATGCTCTCGGTGCATGCTGTAAATCCCCGTGTCGGAACCTTAGTTTACAGTGACTTTTAGGAATGGGCTTGTAGATTCTGTTGGTCAACCAAACTTTAGACCCGTATGCAACAATCTGAGAAAATTAAACTGAGCGATTTCATCTTGTTTTATTCACGGTCAGACGAAAATGAACGAGCTATAACACGCAATGACACTTGAAGTAGATTGAACCGAAATGCGTCCTAGATCTATAGCTTATTCACCTTTGTCTGTCCGAGTTGATAATTCTTGTTCATTTACTAATTTGCCCCGACGCATAAAACTTTTTATGATACCCTTTTAGGTCAGCAATAAAACTTTTTTTTAAAATGTCAGTGTAGGTAATTTGAAAAATAACTTTACTTAGGTTATATAATAAACGCCACCCTTTGGGTGCATACAGAGAATCATTGAAATAAATGATTTACACGAACAGAGCCTAAAATTTGCTTCTTTTGTGACAGCGACACCACATAGCCTGCCCTCAAGTTTCAGTGCAATCACATTGTTATTCTCCCCAAGACCATCTAGACATCACCACAATATGCGACTTGAAAGTATTCACCCGTCGGTTAGACCATGTCATTGTGTCTTAGGCATGCTATAAAGTTTGGTGTTTATGAAAATGGATTAACCTATTGATTTTTGGGTGAATGTTGTGAATAACCTATAATTTATTTACCCGTTCTAGGTTAACATCACTGAAAACTTGTCGAAACCTTATTTTACGCTTGGCTTCAATAATGGGCTTCTAGATTCTATTGGTAATTAAACTTTTTAGGCCCTCATACAAAAACCTAAAAAGAATAGACAGAGAGATTTGTTTTGTCCCATTTCAGCGTAGACAAAGGGATGTGAACAAGTTATACATAGATTGTTTCGTCAGTACAATCAGAAAAATCGAAACATTTTTTTCATTGTTAGCATTAAATAGTATATTTACACGCCTCACACGTCTACTATAATGTTGAAAAGGAGTACCCATTCTCAGCATTTATGATGATTCCATAATTCAACATGCTACAGACATTGCAATTTTTTAGATAAAGTGCACACTAAACACTTAATTTTCGCCAGGCCGGAGATCTCAGTAATAAACCCAAGAACCTGTTCTTGACCCGATGTTGTACGAACAGTTAACATAGCTGTGCTTCAGCCCAATTCGGTCTTGTTGTGTGACAGACTTTGAATTTTAGATCCAACCATGTAATAGCTTCACAATTTTCAAACAAATACCATACCACGAAACAGATATCAAGTAATTACTATCTTTTAATCCCCGTCTTTACGTACCACCATCCAGAAAGAGAGTTCGAATTATAAAGGAACCCGATGCCTTACGTACTGGCTCGTCCTCAATCGGCGATCCAACCAATGAACATACATTCTCAAAAGTAGGGAAAGAATAGTTTTGCTGTAATTTCAAAATTGAAATTCCTCAGAACAAACTCAAGACTGGCTTTAATGTTTGGATTGGCTCGTGTATTATAGGAACATCAATACGTTATGCTTGGGGCACATTTCACTTACCAATACACCATAGGCTTTATGATAATTGTATCCTTGTTGAAAAAAAAAGTTATTCAAACATAAATGCTATATTTATTTCAAATAGAAGTAATTAATTGCGTTTACTTTTTCCCAATAATGGGAGAAACTGGCATTTTGCTTCCATCCATGATCTCTAGAAGTTTCTTATACAAATCAACGTCCCGGGGATTAGACCATAGTTTTGATTCGGAAGCAGAATTAATACGAAGGTAGTACGGTGTCGCGAGGCTGTACTGGTTCCACATGGCTCCTCCTTTGGGCACGGTTGACGTTGGGTTCCCTGTCTTGACAAAGTTGGTCCACAGTTCCATCATCTGTGTAGATACCAGAATGTCTGTAGCGTCCGGTGGACCAAAGCTACTGTCGGCCCACTCTTTCGCTTGGACATCAAAAACGAAGGAGAGCTCCTGTCCATGTTGAGCTGACATCCATTGAGGTACTTTGCTGAAGCTTGGTCTGTGGTTAAACTCATACATGTAGTGTCTCTTTTCTGGGGCAGTGCGCACAACGTCGTTTAGCTCTACTAGAGTTGGGGCCACAAATGTAAAACTGTCAACGGCATCCAGAGATTCTCTCTGTAGTAAGTCATGGTTTAAAGTATCTGTGACGAACGTCGACAGCATCAATTTTAGAACCTTTTGAAGATCTAGATTGGAAAACTGCTTAAGCAGAGGTGCAATAACTTCTTGTTTAGCCACTTCCATTGTAACCGGTTTTGGGGGATGTTGGTTGAAAACAGTGACAGCAACTCCAATCTCATCACTGTTAAATCCCCTCAGAGTGTCTACGTGGTGAATCTGGCCCCGTGAGAGAAGTGTAACTGGCGACTCTGGCAAGAAGCCAAATGTTGTCTCAACCCTAGGAGTCATTATAATACCGGCATCTACAGCTTTGGTCACGGAGATAGAAATATTCAGCAACGTTCCTGCATCCACTTGCTGCAAGCAGGACAAAAGTGAAGTTGAATTCTCCAAGTCGTCACACCCAGCTGCCACGCTAATCAACCTAGCTATCATTCGAGCAGTTACTCGATTTGCGGGGAATTGGAAAGCCCATGGAGAAAGAGAAGCACCGCTCTCCATAATCGCTCTGTGGAACAGACCTTTGGCGAGAGGTGACAAGGTCAGGAGAGAGACACTTCCCGAGCCAGCACTTTGTCCAGAAATGGTTACTTGATTTGGGTCACCTCCGAAAGAAGCAATGTTATCTTTTACCCATTTAAGAGCAGCAATCTGGTCCAGCATTCCGTAATTTCCAGGCATCGTGTCGTCCTCCGTTGACAAGAACCCAAAAAGACCGAGTCTATAGTTGATGGTAACCATGACAACCCCTTTTGTTGCTAGCGACGCGGCATCATACTGGGATCCTGATCCTAAAGTGTACCCTCCTCCGTGTATCCACACCATGACGGGCATTAGACCTGTAGCATTTCCTTGAGTGGGAGAGTAGACGTTTAGGTACAAACAGTCCTCACTTCTAGGCGGAATGTCCCCGTTGTGAAGAGTCACTGTTGGTGCTGCTCGTTGTGAGCACTGGTTCCCGAAGGTAACTGCGTCTCTGACTCCACTCCACGTGTCTGGAGTAACAGGCGCTTTAAAGCGAAGCGGTCCTGAAAAAAAGTACATTAGCCCTTCTTTAGTGGGTGACCATGCCACTCCAGATAGACAGGGAGACAAAAACCGTTTTATGTCGGGTACGTATCGTTTTTACTGTTATGCATATCCTAATAGATTGTCCAGACTTTGGAGCGACCCGAAGGAGATATTTCAAATGGACTAATTTGAAGAATTTGTTTTCCATCGTTGATTGCAACAGGGTTTTCGATTTAGTTAAGACCATGGGTCTTTAGATATAGATGTAAATAGTGTTATCATAAAATATGTATTACTGCTGAGTTTTTTAAATATTATTATCTTTAAATAACTCAACCTTTTCGACTCGCAACGTAAAACCAAGCCGTGCTATGAAATAACGTGAAAACAATCAACTTGTGCCCCGCGCGCTCATTATGACATTAATCATTAAGCAGCTGCGAGCGCCTAAAGCTTTTTTTTTAACCAAACTTAAAACATGCCCAAATAAATACATACCACCTTATAGCCCTATCAAATACACGCTTAACATACGCACATATAACACACCCACACACAAAAGTGCTGACACCGACACATACACTCATATACAGACACACACACACACACACACACACACACACACACACACACACACACACACACACACACACACACACACACCTACACACACCTACACACACACACGCACACGCACACACACACATACACACACACACACACACACACACACACACATACACCACCACCACCACCACCACCACCACCACCACCACCACCAAACATTTGTAAACACGTCTTGCAGACATAAAGATAATATCTATGTTAATTTTTCCCATACCAGTATTTTTCCAACTTCCAACTTTCTCATTCATTCAACCAGCCAAAAAACCTCCTGCCTCTGGTGTATCTGCAAGGCACTTTGCCGTCGCACGCAGAAATGAGTTCTGGTCAGCCGTTTTGTATGTGATTTCATAGGTTTTTTTTGTATTGTTTGTTTGTTTGCTTGTTTGTCTATTTTTGGGGGTTGACTTATCGACAGTTTTCGTCTGCTTGCTATGGCCGGGTGTTGGTTGTTTTGGAAAGTGTTTTACGGCGCTTGCAACTGCATACAGTCATAAGAGCGCGCAGGACACATAAACATTTTTTAGTTTGGTAGGAATTACTTTTGAATTTTTCCCGAGTAGCGACCGAAGCATACTCTTATCGATTTTGGATCACCAGGGAATCTTTAACGCGTGCAACTTGCACACGGGACCTTTGAGACTTTTTAGCCTTTATCCGAGAAGGCAAGGTGTTAGGTCTCACTACCCTAAGATAAGGGGTGTGACGGAAAGACAGCAGTAAGAAGGAGCCAAGAAGTAGCAATTTCAAGGCTGCAGAAAGAGATAGGAGCTCAGAGTAGGGGGCAAGGGAGGGGGTGGGGTAGGGGCAGAAAGCGGAGACGAAAGCAGACGACAGAAAATCGTTAGAGAATAGGAAAGGAGGTGAAAAGAGAAAACTGGTCGCTTTTAAGCACAAGGGGGCTATCCCGAAAAATGCTGTTTTGAGAAAATCGAAGGTAAAGTTTTTGCCCCTTGTTCAGTTTCATTAAAAGACGAGGGGATTTTCTATATGACCAAACACATATACACACCAATGAAACTAAACTTCTCCTATAGGTAGGGCAATGCCCATTTTTTGTGTAAGTCAAGATTTCTGGAAACCCCCGAAATCTGGGTTAGCCCGCTTGTCCTTAAAAGAGACCAATTTTAGAGAAGAAAATTTTCCGTCGCTGTCAGGTTTCAAACCCGGCACCTATTGAATGGAGGCAAACACAGTAACCTCCAGACCATGGGAGCGTACGAGACTGGGTTTACCTTGATAAACAGGATCGACAAAGTCTGACTCTTAAATGATCTAAATTGAGTCAATAAGGTCGTAAACCATCTATAATTAATATTATTTAAAGTCAAATTTGCACTCATGAAATAACGTGTCTTAGAAAAACGTTGAAGTTCACGAGAAGAGACAAACGAAGAATCGAAGACCCTAGACATCAAGTGTGTTTCGAAAAGAACATGAAATACACGGAGAGGCAACAAAAAAGTGATATATATGGACAAGAGAATGGGGTCACAAGAGCCAGTCTATAAAGTCTCGAACATGCGAATCGATTGCTTCAACTTCAAGGCAAAAATAAGGCCACAAAAAAGATGGCTCGACGGAGCCCTGGATACCCTCCAAAGAAGAATAATAAGACATTTTAAAATACCAAACACTTGGCCCACGTCCTGCAACAAGTGCATGTCCCCTCGACATATTGTGGTATAAGAGGACAGCAAAAGTCAAAGTAAAGTTGTCCTCTCTCGCTGGACCAAGAACAAACATTTCTTGCTCACAATTGAGACGGTTCAAGTTTGAAACCTGATTGGAATTGAATCTCCTTGCCGTTGTAGATATACTATCCCTCTTGAAAACGTGTTCTGGCAGGGAAACCTTTTCTATCGTAAAAGTAAGTTACCCGATGCATTCTGGGGCATTCCGACAGTCTGGTGCCCAGTTGTAAAGTCAGGTTTTTCTGTGTAAAGACGGTGTTAGAAACCCTCCAAAATAAAGCATCTTTCCTTTTAGACATTTTCCCGGCCCCTGGCTTTCTATTTTTCAATACCACTTCCTTTATTTGTCGATCTGGTAATCGTGTTTGTATGGTGTTTAATTTTGAGTCTTGATATGATATTTTCTCTATAAATCTCTCTCTCTCTCTCTCTCTCTCTCTCTCTCTCTCTCTCTCTCTCTCTCTCTCTCTCTCTCTCTCTCTCTCTCTCTCTCTCTCTCTCTCTCTCTCTCTCTTTTTCTTTCTCCCCCCCCCCTCTCTCTCTCTTCATTTTCTTGACACTCCCACTCCTCATTTTTCTCTGTCCCACTCTTTTTCTTTCTCTCCATGTCTTTCTTTCTCTTTCTCTGTCTCTGCCTGCCTGCCTGCCTGCCTGCCTGCCTGCCTGCCTGCCTGCCTGCCCGCCCGCCTGCCTGCCTGCCTGCCTGCCTACCTGCCTGCCTGCCTGCCTGTCTGTCTGTCTGTCTGTCTGTCTGTCTGCCAGCCTGCCTGCCTGCCTGCCTGCCTGCCTGCCTGTCCGTCTGTCTGTCTGTCTGTCTGTCTGTCTGTCTGTCTATCTGTCTGTCTGTATTTTTCTCTCCTTGTCACTCTCTTGTGTTCACTTCCTCTGCCCCTTTCTCTCTTTAGCTATCATTGCTTTCTATCTCTTTTTTGACATTCTGGTACAAATATTCCCAAGAAAAAGATAGATCAACGGAATCAAAGACGAACCTCCAAAGACACAAAACAGCGATCCAAAAGGCCACTTACCAAGCCCAAGTCCGACAATTAATTACAGCTCCACGGGACACGATTGCGGTACAAGAGGATAGAAGCTGTAAGTAAATAGGATCTACAAACCGTTGTTCATCCCTTTACTTTTACACACACAACACCCCCCCCCGGAAATTTTGCAATCCAAGCTTCGCCTGTAGCGCTGTAGATTAGCTATTTAATATAGTTCGTATCTGAGGAGAGCAATACTACTCAAATAGGAACAATAATGTGTTTCAATCCACCAGCCTAAGAAGAAACTGTGTGATAGTTCATAAAGCTCCAAAATGTTTAAGAAAAAAAAGTATTTGTGACTATTCTTCATATGAGACATCTTTAGTACAAAAGAATTTCTCACCGGTCGGAGGTTTTGCAAACGGAATACCGTAGAACTTGGCCACAGGTACTTGAGTTGTGAAGTCCACCTTTCCCCTGACTGTACCGTAGCTGGTGTTGGCCATGAGGTACACGTCATTCCTCCCTACCTGTGCTCCCCTTGTCCTCCTTGTCCTCCCTGAAGACCACTACTGCCTAGTAGGGAGGTATAGAGAGCTTGGAGTAACCAGGCTGCTGCCATTTTAACCGTAAGTTACAAGAAGGACAACAGCTGAACTGACAAATCAAAACTTGCAGCTGTGGTCAATTCTACTAACATCTCCCTTTATACCCAACGACACTGACTACTGGACTACGATAAACTTAAAGGTCAACCAGATCTGGTGCATTTAGACCGCTTGAGGCCTACGTCAACTCTTGATAAGAGACCAGTCTTTTCCTAACTCCACGGGTATTTCCAAGTTATTTAAAGGCAAGTAGGCTAACAGGAAGTTTCACTGGAAACAAAGGAACTGAAACATATCCTAAAACACTTTTTCACTTTCGTCTGCCTGCTTTTAAAAATGGCTCATTTCAAAATTTGCCTAGGTGCAAGGAATTTAGCATTGCACACCTGCAGGCCAGTGGACAGACAAAATATTGTTTTCCTATAATTTAGAATTTAAAAAAACTTTAATTATATTTTTTCCATCTGCCATATATTAAATACCGCCTTATGGGTGCTTACCTATGATTATGACAATAAACTATTTATAGCAAACCAAACCTATTTGTTCATTTGAAAAAGCTTTACCATATTGCTCACACATTTTAGTTTAAGCATGTTAAATTTTTTTCTTCCTAAAGACCGTACAGACGAAATCACATACGACGTGAAAGTACTCATCCGTCGGTTGGACAGTGTTTCATCTGCGTGGGATAAAATGTTGTGTGGATGAAAATAGGCCAAACTCTTGATTATTAGGTGCTTTCTATTTATTGCCTAATAATTATTTTACTTGCAGAAGACCTGCATTAAAGAAAATATGTCAGAACCTTATTTTCCAATGTCCTTCATTAATGTGCTTTTAGATTCTGCCGGTCTTCCAACTTACTAGACCAACAAGATCAAACATAGCGATAAGTATGTATCCGGTTTAATCTCGACAGTGAACAAGCTATAGATTATTCTATCGGTATAATTAGACATAGGGATGGTGATAGTAAAGGCGTCCAGACTGGCAGGAAAACTTTCACTAAAACACGAAACTGCCCTTTGTTTAGAACAGCTCTTTTCTTCTAAAATAGTTCAGTATAATCCAACATTGGAAAATTGCTTATTCTCCTGTTTGAGTACTCTGTCATGAGTACTACTGCTCCTTTCGAACGAGGGATTGTACAAATATACGATAATAACTTTGACCTGCTCCATACTAGCTATCAAAAAGAAGTACCACCCTATCTGTTCGTTTGGTCTGTCTTTCCAGTAGAAAAATAACGATTCTTTTGACCACGAAATTAAACTCTGAAGTATTTGACCGATAACAAGGTGAAAGGATTATTTTTCAGCAAAAAACCCCTGCTCTTTTATGAGTGAAATTTGTCAGCAGGGTTAAAATCCAGAAGTCACACGTCACAGTGCGCCGTTTGATCTTCATGTGCATTCAGCACATCAGAACATCTCCTGCGCTTGGAGTGCACACATCTTCCTACAAAATGTTGTTTCATACAATGGTGAGGGCTCGCTACTGCTTTAAAATGGCTCTGGGGCCGAAATTCA